GGGCTGCAATAGGAGAGATTTTCAATTCTTTGAACAACTCAGATTCAAGACCCTCCAACTCTTTGTTCCAAATAGCAAGAGGCTCGGGGGCTACACTCAGTGAGTGCACTTTTTCCTTCAAAAAAGCGCACATCACTCAGAAGACTTCTTCAAGACAGGAGTTTTCAAACAACATAAGATTCAAGACCCTCCAACTTTTTGTTCCAAATAGCAAGAGGCTCGGGGGCTACACTCAATGAGTGCACTTTTTTCTTCGAAAAAGCGCACGTCACCAAGAAGACTTCTTCAAGATAGACCACTTCAAGGCCTCACGACAAAAAGAACCCGGACCGAGCTATATCCGAGTTCTTTTTGATAAATAACCCGGGTATATGCTCAGGAGCCCATCGACGAAGAATCAGAGCAATTTCAAGACAAGACCCTCTAGCTCCTTGTTCCAAATAGCAAGAGGCTCGGGGGCTACATCTAGATGGGTGTACTTTTTCTTCAAAAAAGCACACACCACTCAAAGATCCCAAGAAGCGCTACACGGTTTCACTCAAGAAAGCACTCGGACGACGCTTGTTCCTGCTCGGTAAGACCTGAAGGAACAAGACATGGCTTCCAGAGCTCAACCATGAAGTGCTCGGGGGCTTGTCGATATGGGACCCATGGGATACCCCACAAGGAAGGGAGAAGATTTAGTCTAACTAGGATTCTTTCCATGTAATCTTAGTAGTAGTATTATTCTGTAAACCTACTAGGAACTCTCATTGTAAACCGACTAGGACTCTGGCCTCCTGACTATATAAAGGAGGGTGGGGTTCCTGGAGACACTGGACCATCAATCCAACGCAAAGGCCAACGCCGACTGGACGTAGGGCTATTACTCGATCACGATCGAGGGTCCGAACTAGGATAAATCGACTGTCTCTTGCATTTACCATCGAGTTCTGCATACGCTGAAGCCGAACAAACTGCCTTGGGTACCCCCGTGGCAGGCTATCGGTGGTGAAACATCGACAGAGACATGAATTGATTTTGGATTAAGTCTCAATATGGCTAGCTTTGCATGAACAAGAAGAGTTTGATAGTGGATTGGCCTTAATCAAGGATTGAAGAATGAGTAAAGGATGCATAAATGAAGAAATACCAAGCAAAGGCTAAATGACAAAGGACACAACTCATATTGAATATTAGTCGGTCTCTATGTTGGTTTGCTTGTATGGATAAAGATTTAGAAAATCACTTTGCATTGATTTGATCAAGCTAGAAGTATGAAGATAGATATTGAAGTGAGTGTTAGGAGTGTCAAGCCAAAATGAATAGGATATAAGGAATCGTGAATTGGCTTGACCATATTGATGTTGATTCATATATCTCAATCTATGTGAATCCAACTAAAGCTTGATTGATCTCAACATTCATATCTAGAAGATATTCAAGCAAGGATCATAATATTGAAAAAATGGTTTTTCAATAGATGCTTAATATGATGTGACTTGAATATTGCTAGATAAGGTGAAGATAGCAAGGAAAGGTCTTCGAGGGACTAAGCAAAGGTGAAGGGCAAGTGATGGCTTGAGGACCGAGGTACCATGGCTAAGGTGGAGAAGAGAGTACTTACATTGAGTCGAGGAACTAATCGAGCTATGAGGAGTCATATTGTGTTGAGGATCAAATCATTAGTAGAAATGACTTGAAGCCATGAGGTGAACTCATATATATAGAAATGGTTCAAGTCACATGCTCAAGGTATGATTGCTCGAAGAGGTGAGACAAAGTTGATTGCAACCCCTTATGAAGTGAATTTGAGAAGAAATAGAATATGGAGACATTAAAGACTCAAGTGGTTGAAATGGTTATATTTTCTTGATCTTGAGTATAGGTATGTCGTACTATCAAGGGAGATGCAATACAAATCGTAGACAAGTCTCAAGTGCTCAAACTAACCGAACTCAAGTGCTAACTGAGAGAAAACACTTATCATTGCACCTGCACTAGTTGATCTTGGGGCTTGTTCTCTACTAGGTTTGATAGCCCTCGAAACAAGCTCTTCAAAAAGTCAAAGATCACTGAAAGCGGAGTTTGGAATAAAAAGTTATGGCGTTTTCCGTGAGGTGACCTATGTTGTTTTTCAGAGCTACGGTAGTGCCACGAATTTTCACAGCAATGCCATACCGCGGTAGTGTCATGGGTCGACGCGGCAAGCCGCACCTGTACTGGTAATAACAGCTAGTTTTTGAACTGCAATGGCTAGTTTTGGGATTAGTTCTATAAATACCCATCCCACACCTCCTGGTGAGGCTGCTGGCTACCATTTCACTCCCAACCCATTCCAAGCCATTTGTGAGCTCTCTCTAACCCCTCTCTTTGTGAGAGTAAGTGATTAGTGTGTGATTAAGTGTTAGAGAGCAGATTAGAGCAAGCCAAACCTTGAGCACTTGTCGGGCATCGTCAATCTTCGTTGCACATTTGTTACTCTTAGAGGTGAAGCCTCCTAGACGGCTAGACATCGCTCGGCGAGCTCCCGTGCTTGTGGTGAGCCACGAGAAAGTTTGTTAATCACCCCATCGATCTAGTGGAAACCCCTCATCTCAAGAGTTTACTCTCTTGACTTGAGAATGAGGATAAGGGTTGCAAAGCCCAAGCCTTAGTGCCTTCCTCAATAATATGGACATAGGCAAGCCTTGGTGGCGAGCTGAACCATGGGATAAATCTTGTGTCTTGTTCCTTTATGTTTTGAATTGCATTATATGTGTTCCACTCGATCTACTTGGTTGTGCGTGTTTGTGAGTGTAGGTACTCAGTGAATTTGCCACTGGATATCACCATGCATATCTCCAAGTTTGAGTTCTATTCGCAGCTTGTGTTGAGTTGTCTACAAGGGCGTGGCAGTGTTGCATATTGAGTGAGGCAGTGCTGCAGTGCTGCAGCATTAGAGCAGCAGTGTCGTGCACTCTACTAATCCACTGTAAGTTTATTTATTGTTAATTTTTAGAAGCGCCTATTCACCCCCCTCTAGGCGACATCAAGGTCCTTTTAGATACACGCAAGGGTATTTTGTTTGGAAGGCCTAATTTGCTCTTAGGACAGGGCCCCATGTGTGAGAGGGCTAAATGAAAAAAAATCATTGGTCTTCTTCATTATCAGGTGCGGGCATGGGGGTGCGACTGACAGATGGCGGCCATGGCCGGGCACAACGCGGCTGGCCATGGAGGACAGTGGCCATGGCTAGGGGCGGGTGCGGCCTCGCTGAGTACGGGCCGTGGCCTACTGGCCACATGCGTCGGTGAACCGGCAGCCATGGTTACGATAGTGAGATGCAGGGTGAGATGAGGCTTCACGTCGCCGTGTAGAACTCCCAGCCCTACTCCTTCCGCGCTAGCACCACCATCGTCAACTCTGGCACCCGCCCACTTTGCTCTTGGGCGCTGCTGCTCACCTTTGTGCACGACGACATCCTAGGGTGCGGCCTCGCCGGGGTCATGGACAGCCAGCATGGGCGGGCCGGTGGGATGAGGTGCGGCCGGCATGGGTCTTCGTGATGGTCTGCTGTCATGAGGAAGAGAAAAATAACACGATCAAGAAGAGAAAACAAACTGTTTTCTTTGTAACAGGTGGCAATGGTGGATAATTTTCCCCTACTCCACCAACTTGAGTTTGGTGGAGCACTCCTTGAGAAGGTCCACCAAAATAATGAATCTGGCCCTAGGTCCACCGTATTGGTAAATATGGTTTTGGTGGAGCTAAAACGTTTGGATAAGTTTTCATGAAGTGGAGCTATTTTGGTGGATCTAGAGCGGCTTAGCTGTCGCCAACACGCCCATGGTGGAGGCATTGGTTGTCATGATCCAAAGAGATTTGTGTTGGGTGAAGTTTAAGGATGAGAGTAGATGAGGTCACTTGCCACCATAGTCAAGCAGCAGCGTAGCGCCTTAGAGCATGTCCAACAATGCTACCCAAATTAGACCCCCTACTTGTCTGTTTGGGTAGCCACCTATTTCAATACTACTTTTTTTTCTTCCAACTCCAACAATACTACCTAAAACAGGCCTCCCAAACTCATTCTAGTTGAGGATGACATGTGGGTCCCACATGTCATCCTCTCTCATGTTCTTCTCACCATAGACGGAATAGAGATTGAGCACCGCCGCGTTGGGGAGGGCCAGATGAAGCACCGCCACTCTGAGGGCATCACTGTCGTGACGTGGATAGGCCCGCCGCGCCGGGGAGCTCGTGTCGGTGACCTTCGCCCATAGAGCCACTAGGGAGCTCGCCCGTGGGAGCCGCCGGGGCAGGCCGCCACACCGGGACCTCTGGCCACGGGAGCCACCGGGGTAGCACCGCCGCGCCTGGGAGGGCCGAGGAGGTGCCACTGATTAGAGGAGAAGGCGGGTCGCTGGTGAAGGCCGCCGGGCAATGCCGCGCCACCAGGAAATAAGGGAAGTCCGGACAAGGCCATGCCGCCGGGGAAGCCGTCGATGTAGGCCGTGCGGGGAAGGGATGTTGCGGGCGTATCGGAGCAGTCGTAGAGAAAGAAAAATTTGGGTAGTCCAGAGTAGGGGGACAACAGAAATAGGTAGTAGGAGGCGGAAAATAGGAGGCCAACAAATCTAGAGGGTCTAGTAGGAGGGGTTGTTGGAGTTAGTTTTTTGGCCTCCATTACCCAAATTAGGAATATGGGGTCTAGTAGGAGGTGTTGCTGGAGATGCTCTTAGAGTAAAAGAATGCGGTGGCTAGCCATGCGGCGGTCAAAGACGACGTTGTACATCATGTGAAGCAAAAATGGGATAAAGTTGAGTGTGCGCAGGTGAAGAGGATAACACTTGCTAGACCATGCTAAAGTCCTTATTGTTTTTCCGTTTCATGGCCAAATAATCCATCGTACCACTTTATTCTTTATTTCATTGCTCCAATGTATTAATACTACACATGGTCGACAAGTTTAAATCCCATATATACATTGAACAACACAAAAGACAATGATACATTTCTTTGCGGTACAATGGCTTACAAAGTCATATTGGTGTAGCCATAGCGCATAGAGGCACAACCTTGATTAAGGTCAGGCCAAATTTTTCATCCATGCCAACTCCTTTTCCTTCAAACTCAACTGGAAGCCTCCATGTGAATTGATTTAACAGCGATCCAAGAAGTAGATGCACCATCCTAATTGCCAATGGCATTCCAGGGCAGATCCGACGCCCTCCGCCAAATGGGATGAGGTCAAAGTCCCCACCTCTTAGATCAACTGTCTTTCCCAAAAATCGCTCGGGCATAAACTTCTCGGGTTCGGGCCATGTTTCTTTGTCTTGACTAACTGCCCATACATTTATGAACATACGGCAACCTTTAGGAATGGTGTACCCCATTATTTTTGTATCGATCGGAGCACGTCGTGGTAGCAATGGGACAGAAGGATGTAGTCTAAAAGTTTCTTTTACCACAGCTTGAAGATAGGGCAACCGACCAATATCAGATTCTTCGATGTTTCTTCTTGAGCCAATAACTGTAGCAAGCTCATTGCAAGCTTTAACCATTGAAGTTGGGTTTTGAAGCAACTCCGCCATTGCCCATTCCACTGTGCTAGAACTTGTGTCACTCCTAGCAGAAAACAAATCCTAAAAATAGAGGAAAAAATGTTGATGATAAAATCATTTGATATTTTACATGCTAAACAAGAAATGCATGCAATTCTATGAAATTCTTTAATTCATTGTCACGTCATGTACCTTTAAGATCGAACCAATATTTATGGGGCTCTACAGCCCCTTTTTTTGCGAAACCTGCACTTTATATGCGTGGTTTATAGCTTAGAGGTCATTATGTATGATTCTGATACCAAATTTCAAGTTTGATGACATCCCTCATAGGGACCCTAGAACACAACAAGCTATCAACTAAAGGGCAAAACATGGTTATAACTATTACGGCGACAAAGACAACAAGCTACCAAACCAGGAGACAAGAGATCATCAAAATCCTTGTAATGGACCCAAAACACAATAAGCTGCTAACCGTGGATTGGGTATAAACTATAGTCATAGCTCTTGAAGCAACCCTAAATAATAAAAGGCTAACTAGGAAGCAAACCATAGTCACAACCCCTAAACACGACACGCTACAAACTGGTGGGTGGTGGGTGTGAATGGGGGGGGGGGGGGCATTGATAAAAAATTATCATATATCATCACCAAAACACAACAAGCTACCTAATCACCAACGAATGAAAGTGAAATATAAAAATCAAATCCGTTGGCTAGCTGCCCTCGGGGAGGGAAATCACCATATATTCATGCCCTGAATTGGCCAAATCATTGAAGAACATCCCAAGCCTGTAGTACGCAAACCAAAACACAATCCAATTGTATAATCAGATTTGGGGGCAAACTATGCACACTCGGTATGAATCACTCAAGAATTGCGAGGAATCAATCATAAAAAAAATGCCACATTAGTGCCCGAAAATGCAAACCTAATAAAACAGGTACTAAAGCAAGGAGAGTAAAGAAGGGAGATCAAGCGGGAATCAACGAAGAACAAGTTATAGGGAGCAGAATCAATGAAACCCTAAGGTCCAGTTCGGTTAGCTGACTCGAGGCCCGGAATAATTCCAGGTTTACTTGATTAGTACAAATTAAACTAGTTGTTATAGCTGGGTTTTTTTTTTGCCGGATAGTGATTTCCTGCAAACCGAACGGCCCCAGTAGTCACTCCTCTGATGGGGAGACGAGAGGAAATGAAATGAGAGCAGACATGTGGGACAGCTTGTCAGCGACAAGAACAAGAAAAAACACACATAGCTAAATCGGTGTGGATCAGACGGTCAACGACGGACAGACCTAGCGATCGGATGGTCAGAAAACCACGTGCCGTGAGAGACAAAAACACACGAGCTTTCCCAATGATTATTTATTTATTTACTTAAAAATCTTTGATGTCTACGGTTTACCGTGAAGAGTGAACGGAGTGTGTCGCGATCCAGCTTCGCCGTGTTGTCGTCGTCCGCGCCCAGGCGGAGGGACATGAGCGGGCCGTGGATCTTGGCGAGCCTGGCGAAGGAGCGGTGCGGCTGGTCGCCGAGCAGGTGGAGGCTGCCGATGACGGGCAGTGGGTGTGGTCCCGGCGGTAGACCACCACGACGGTCGTGCGCGAGGTAGGCGCCAACGAGGGAGACAAGCAGCAGCCATGCAGGCCATGAAACAGCACAGCCATGGCTAAGCCCAAGTGAGCAGCTGTGTCGTATTCGTATCTGACGAGATGACGAGACGATCGAGACGGTCTGTGAATGCGCATGGAGCCTGAAGCGACCGATGCTTGTTGCCTTGTTTACATGTACCCACCGCGCTGACAATTTGTTTATTCGGTGGCATGGAGCACGTGTGATGTTGATGTGCCTTGTGAGTGGTGACTCGCGAGTGTCTCTGTGTGTGCGCGCGCATAGGCCACAGGGTGCGGACTCCCGAGAGAATATGCAAGTGAGGTATAGGCCGCGTTTAGTTCGGGTCCGGATTTGACGCCGCCGAAATCCTAGTACTGTAGTGGTACTGCTGCGCATTGTAGCATTTTGTTTTTATTTGATAATAATTGTCCTATCGTTGACTAATTAGACTCAAAACGTTCGTCTCGCAAAGTACAACCAAACTGTGCAATTAGTTTTTGATTTCGTCAACATTTAGTACTTCATGCATGTATCGCAAGTTTGATGTGACGGGGAATCTTCTTTTTGCATAGTGCTAAATTCTGGAATTTGGGGCAACTAAACATGGCCATAGCAGGAGGCAAATAGGTGGGGCACGGAATGGAAAAAAATCTGATCGGACCATTGCGACTTAAAAATTAACGGAAATGCTTCGTGGCGTCGGGACGGATAGACGGACCGGATCGTCCCACCCCGTCCAAGCTCCGCGCCGCCCACCCCGAGCCCCCCGCCCGGAGACTCGCCTCTAGCCGTGGCTGCGATCTGCCCGTTGGCAAGATGCCCGCCCTAGATTGCGCCGCCGCAAGCCCCCGCCCGGAGTCGTGCCTCCTGCCGCGACTGTGCTCCATCCACCAGTGTGATGCCCGTGCCGGACCTCCACGCCGCCGCGAGCTTCATGCATCGCCGACCTCTACGCCGTTGCTAGCTCTATGCGTCGCCGCCGACCTCCACGCTGGCGTCGAGCTCCGCAACGATGAGCCTCCTCATCCAGGCAGCAAGCACTGGTAGAGAATAAAGCTTTACTCCCGGTGGTGAACCCCCTCTAGTCCTGGTTCCCCACCCGGGAGCAAGCATCCGGGACTAAAGGAGGGTCATTTAGTCCTGGGTCAGGAACCGGGACTAAAGGAGGACCTTTAGTCCCGGTAGATAACACCAACCGGGACTAAAGGTGCCTCCTGACATGCCACGATGGCCGACACCTTTAGTCCCGGTTGATAATACGAACCGGGACTAAAGGTTTTTTTTCTTTTTATTTTTTTGTTTTCTTTTCAAAATAGGTTTTCGTAGTCGTATTGTACGCTGATAATTATACATTTATGCGTGCGTATAGTATGTTTCGGTTCAAGCACAATGAACGTATTAAATCACACAATTCAAGCATATATATATATATGCATGCATGCATCATATATATATTTACATGCATGCATGCATATGTGTATTTTACATTATATTATTTCATGTGCATATATTACAAAAGATTGCATTACAGTTGTTGTGATATATAACAAGTTTTCTCTCATCCTCTAGCTTGGCTTCCATGGCAGTGTTGGGTCGAAGTAGAACTCGCCCTTGGAATCGATGACCTGCTCATTAAAAAATCCGGCTATAGACTCTTGAATTGCTTTGATTTGGTCTTGCCGTATGACCTTTTTCTCCAACCATCGAGCCTACAGGTTTGAATTAAAGGAAAATAAATTAATATATATACACATATATATATAAAGACATAGTAACACAATCAATAATAATAATTAAATGAATATATAGTGTATTTTTAACGTACTTTGAGTCTCTCTGTAGGAGTTCTTTGGGAGACCACCTTGATAAACTTGCAAACATAGTAACCACAGTAGTTGTTCCCCTGTTCCTGCCTCAGACACCACTTTACGAGAAAAAGATTTGTCATCTAATCTAGTGATCCGGTGAAAGCTATATGTTTAATTAATAAAGATGATGCGATTTAGGGGACTTACTTTCAAAGAGATTACATTCAGTGACGCTTTGCATTTTCCCATGTGTTGCTTCTCAATAAAGGTTTTCCAAACACTGTCCAATAAAAAATTTGCCACGTCATCAGATATAGTTAATCATCATGTTTGTGTGTATATATAGTTGCTAGAGATACCGAAATTACCTCTGGATAATATCTATCATATCTTGATAGTCTTGTTGTGGTTTTCTCATCGAGTCATAGATTATTAAGTGACTTTTCACCAGATCGATGTCCATCAATATCCAGTGATTGCTGCATGTGTTTATAGGATATAACGCATAACACTCATTAATTAACTAGAATCAACATATGAGCCATTAAGGATGATCGACATTATTAACACTCACTTAAAGTTGTAGGGAAAGAGTATATCCTTCTTGTGGCGTTGGTTCACTAAGAAGTTCATGAGGTTACTCTCTGACTCAGACTTCCAATTAGTCTTTGGGGTAACTGGGTCTTTGAATACTATATGGGGATCAACAAAACCAATTTCATTGCAGCCTACCTTTCTGAGCTCTGTCATTGTAAATCTGCATATATATAGGACTTGTTAGGATAATTTATATGCATATACACACATATGATGAGTTTAATAATAGATCGAAAGAATTATTACTTACAGGCAATAGCAGCTAATGATAACTTTGTCCAGAGAGGTCAGGTGGCATAGTTGATGAAATTCTGTAAAGTCAACATACATAACATCATCGCCACGAAACCAATGTTTGTCTCTAATTCTGACACCAACGCAGCAGTCTCCACCGGTAGACGTCTGCATGTACCACTTGTTTAGCAGGTACATTTGCGTCCCCAGATCAGATAAGGCTTGAGGGTTGTATAGACTCTAGCCTAGTACAATTTTTTTCTTCTAAATATCAACCTCCACCGCACTCTCAATGTTTCCATCACCAAACATCTGGTAAAGGTCAAGACCAGTCTCATCAATAAATTCACCAAGGTGATCCAAATCGACATTCGGAGGTATGTTTGTCTGATGCATTAATCCTAAATTCGAACCATATTCATTACCAACAACTAGCGGGGGGACTAATTGGTGCGATTGTTGTCCGAGTTGGGCAACTCCTTTCCCTGCCCGCTTCTTTTTCTATGCCACCTCAATTGACTTGGTGAGAGTGCGGTCATAGTCCATTAACGTTGATTTGGACGGCTTACGAGATTCCCGCTGTTGTTGCTGGTAAGAAGCCATCTTTTTTCTTAGAATATCTAGAGCTACGAAGAAGTACGGTTTCTCCGGGTTTCTCCTTGCTTCTTGATTCTTTTTAAGTTTGTCATAGAATCTGGACAAATCTTTTTTATATGCATCAGTTCCTTCTTCCTTCTCTTCAGATATTATTTTGGTAATAGCCCTTGGTTTCACGGTGGCTTTCTTTGCCGGCGGGGACTGGTTCTTCGTTTGCGGGGCTAGCCACTTGCTAGCACTTGGCTTCTTGGTAGGCGGGGGCGGGGGAGGCGTTGGAGACCTCCTTGGAGGTGGTGGCAACGGCGTTGGAGACCTCCTTGGAGGTGGCGGCTGCGGCGTTGGAGACCTCCTTGGAGATGGTGTGGATGCAGCCTCGCCTTCCAACACAATGTCATCGTACTGAGCACTATGATGATCTAGCGATTGAGCAATTGGATTTAGGTTGGGGGAGGATCTGCTACAAAAAAAGGAATGACATATTATTATGAGCAGATTGTTAATTATTTAAGCCAATATAAATTAATGATGTAGTGTTTTCTTCCGCACCTATGGTGAGGTAGTTCAGGAGGAGATGGAGCCGACATTCTAGGAATGATGATGTAGCGCTTGCGCCATAGAATGAATGTCTTCTCTGCTTCTCCTAGAGTCTTCTCGCCATCACCTCCAGGAATGTCAAGAGGCAAATCACTAAAACATTTTTTAGCTTTCTCTACCGAGATGGTAGCATATCCTTCTTGGATTATATTCCCATGAATCCTTGGTGCCTTGGTTCGGTCGATAGGATTAACAAGACCGATAGCCACCTTGATTGTGGAATTCCCCTTCGGAATGTGTAGCTCACACGATGTACAACGTTTAGTGACGTCATCCACAGGGAAGCGTAGTCCTGTGTCCCCTTGATTTGGTATCTCCGTGGAAGCATAGCTGCTTTTCAACTGAACAGATTGGCTAATGTTGATTCCTAGCTCTGATGCCTGCTTGCTTGCACTCACTGCTATTTGCACTTGCCTTCTGATTTCCTCCTGCATTCTCGCTTCAAGGTTTTTTTTCCTGCTCCTGTGCTTCACGCACCGCTTCCTCCAACCTCTAGAGCCGCTGTGCCTCTTCTTCGTTCTTTCTCTGGAGGCTTCTGTAGGAAGGTCTGTCCTAAGGGAATCCATGCTCCCACGAGACACTTCCTTTGTCTCTAGTTCAGCCACCATGTTCAATAGTCCCGATGGCGTATGTCAGCTCATCCTTCTCTCTGTTGGGCCTAAACGCACCACTAGCAGTAGCTCTCTGAGCATAAAACAATCTTTCTGTTGCTTCTTGCAGTCTTGCACCATAAACGCACTTCCCTGTCTCCTGGTCCAGTGTTCCCCCATGAGCAAAAAACCAATTCTTTGTGCGCTCTCCCCACTCGAGTGATTCGGGTGTGATACCCTTGGCAAGAAGGTCTGCTTCCATTTTGTTCCACTTCTTAATGGCAGTCGGGTAGCCACCTGATCCCAAGTTATGGTGGTATATCTTCTGTTGGGCATTACGTTGGTTCTTTATCACCCGACTCACACCCTCTTCCGACGTCTTGTACTGTACAAACTCATCCCAATAGGGCCTCTGCTTTGAGATCGGGCCTGGGACAATAAAATC